TAGATGGAAGAACAGCCTTGTTGGGCAATTCATTCAAGATCCTCCACCGCTTCACGTCTTGCGTCGTTGGGTAAACAAGTTATGGGGGCGGGATGGGCTGGTGAGGGTTTCTCTTCTCTATGACAAGATGCTGTTGATTCAATTGTCTAATTCGAAAGTGTGTGAGTGGATATTGGAAAATGGGCCTTGGTTTTGGTTCAATAATCTGTTATACCTTCGACCTTGGGTGCCTGGGATCAGCGTTGAGGATTTAGGGAGGAAAGCCTTGTCGATTTGGGTGAATCTTTCAAATGTGCCATTGGAATACAATGATTTTCAGGGATTAAGTAGGATTGCTAGCTGGTTGGGTGTACCACTGGGAGTTGATCAAACTACACGAATGGGGGATAGGCATGGCTTTGCTAAGGTTTTAGTGGAGTTAACTGTTGAAAGTGATTGTCCAGACCATGTTTTGATCTGGCCGGATGATGATTTATCTATGCGCATTGGGGTCTCTTACTGTAACTTGCCCCCAGTGTGTCACGTTTGCTATCTATTTGGGACAACAGGGTCTTGTGCATCTCATTAGGATAATCAGTGGGTGGCTAAGCCGATGCAAGTGGTTAAGGGGGTTACAGATGGTAATCAGGAGTAGAGGAGTAATGTTGAGAAAGTGTTGATTCAAAATGTGGCTCAGGAGTGTCATGGAAGCAATGGGAAGGGTAAGGAAGGGAACGTTGATTCAAGCTGTGATTCAGGGCATCTAAGAAGTAGTGGAAAGGGTAAAGAAGTGATGAGTTCAGATGTTGATCCTCAGCTGACAACAATATTTTCTAGTCCAACAATGTTGGAGGGAGTAAGAGTTGCTCCTCAGAACCTGGAAGCTTCATTTCAGGCGGTGGCGGGGTCTCCTTCACCTAAGCTGCCTTCAGAGGATGAGTTCCAAAGGGTGGTTAATGGGGCTAAGCCTAGAGTCTGGTTATCACAAGGTAGTTCCACGAGCTCTATTCAGGTTACTCCTTCATCCTTCAGTGTACTTAGCAAGCTGGGGGATAAGGAGCCAGATAAGGTGCCAGAAGTTCCAAAGAAAAAGGAGGTGAAGAAAGATATGAAGAAGGGTGGAGGGAAGCCTCCAACCTTGAAATGATAATCCTCTTCTGGAATGTGAGGGGGTTCAATAAAACCCCCAAGCAGAGGGACTTCTTGCAAGTCCTACGTAGGAATAAAGTTGATGTGGTTGCAGTATTGGAAAATAGAATAAAAGCAGCTAGGGCGGAGGAAGCTGTGGCTGGGGTTTTTGAGGGTTGGGAAAAATGTCTTAACTGTGTTGATTCGAAGTTAGGGAGGGTCTGGCTAATTTGGGACCCAACAATTAAAATCAGGGTACTTAAGCCATGAATTTTTTTTGTTCATTGCTTGGTTGAAGATGTAAACAGAGATAGCTTCTTTTTGATAGCTGTCTATGCTTCTAATGATGAAGCCGAATGACAGAATACCTATTCAGAGATTGCAAAGCTCAAAGTTGTAGGCCAGCCTTGGATTGTTGGAGGGGACTTCAACACTGTTCGCTCTCCAGAAGAAACATCAAACCAGAGATCTGTGACACCTAGTATGGCGGAGTTTAGTAAGTGGATTGGGGATATGGAATTGCTGGATTATCGTACTACAGGGTCCCAATATACGTGGACTAATAGACAAGCTAGTAATCCTATATCGAAGAAGCTAGATAGAGCATTGGTGAATTTAGAGTGGGTTGTAAAATTCCAGAACTGTGGAATGGAGTCCTTTCCTTCACATTTCTCGGATCGTTGTGGTGTGCAGGTTAGCACAACGCTTCCTATCAAATCCCTTCCCAAGCCATTCAAATATTTTGAATTTTGGGCTGAACATCCACGTTTCCTGGAAATTGTTGAGGAGGCCTAGCGTGTGGATATCTCTGGATCACCTTTGAAAATTGTCCAAGGTAAACTTAGAGAGGTGAAAAAAGCTCTGAAAAAATTCAATAAAGAGATTTACGGGAATCTACAGGACCAGGTATTGGAAGCGGAAAGAGTATTACAGCGGGTACAGATTAATGCTTTCTCAGACCCTACAACAGAACATTTTGAAGCTATTTCACAGGCTCAGGCACAGTTTGATCAGCTGGTGCTTGCTTATGAAAGTTTTTGCTGGCAAAAATCAAGGGTTTCATGATTATCTGTTGGAGACAAGTGCTCAAACTTTTTCCATCAAGCTGTTAAAATAAGAAACTCAAAATGTGCTATCAGGAAGCTGGTCACGGAAGATGGGATGGAGATAGTCAAATCTGAGCAGATTATTGAGGAAGTGGTAGGTTTTTACAAAAAGTTATTGGGGGAGGAAAACCCTAAGATCCACCGAGTTTGGACGAGGTGATGAAATCGGTTCGAAGGCAAATTCCTTCCTCGGACTGTGAAACACTAGTCAAGGATATCACAGCAGAGGAGGTTCGACAGGTAGTGTTCAGTATGAATTCCCAAAAAGCTCCTGGCCCGGATGGTTTCTCTGCGGGATTTTATAAACGTGCTTGGTCCATTATTGGAGCTGATGTCACCAGGGGTGTGCTCTTCTTTTCCCAAACAGGTATGTTACCTAGTGGTGTCAATTCCACGGCAGTCTCCCTTATTCCAAAGATTTCTGGCGCTGACACTCTTAAGAAATTTCGGCCTATCTCACGTGTCAATCTTTTGTACAAAATCATAGCGAAAATCCTAGCTAAAAGGATAAGAGAAGTGATGCCTCTTGTCATCAGTAATACTTAGTCAGCATTCATCAAGGGGCGAAGTATAATGGACAACATTTTACTAGCGCAAGAACTAGTTAGTGGATACAACAGGGTCGGTTTATCTTCACGATGTGCTATCAAGATAGACATCATGAAGGCGTTCGACTCAGTCAATTGGCAGTATCTTTTCCTTATGATGAGTGCTATGGGATTTCCAACAAAGTTTCTGGGATGGATTAGAAGTTGTATTCAAACTGCTCACTACAGTATCAATGTTAATGGCAGCTTATGTGGGTTTTTTCGGGCTCGGAAAGGGGTACGCCAAGGTGACCCCTTGTCGCCCTATCTCTTCACCATCGCAATGGAAGGCTTGTCTGTCATGTTGCAATCTGCTGTGCAGAAGGGAGTTATTCCCTATCATCCTCAGTGTCGTAGGCTCGCGCTAAACCATATGTGTTTCGCAGATGATATTTTGGTTTTTACTACAGGTTCTGCTCAGGCTATTTTGCAGGTTAAGCAAGTGTTGCAATCATTCTATCAGATTTCTGGGCTCAAGAGTAACCCTGCCAAATGCGAGATATATTTTGGGGGAGATTCCATTCGGTACAAAAGTAATGCCTTACTCCTTTCTGGTTTCAAGGAGGGTAGTTTGCTAGTTCGTTACTTGGGGCTACCTCTGATGACTGGTAAACTGTCGTCTAAGGAAGTTGATATCTTGGTAGAAAAAATAACAAAGTGTATTCGATCTTGGAGAGCAAGAAAGCTTACTTATGCTGGAAGGCTACAGTTGGTTAACTCGGTACTACTAGGTGTCATTCAATACTGGATGCAACTGTTTGTATTTCCAAAAAAGGTCCTCAAATGCATTCAGAAAGTTTGTTCGAGTTTTTTATGGCATGGAGCAGAGGAGGGTAAAGCCAAAGTGGCCTGGGATGAGGTTGCGTTCCCAAAACTAGAGGGTGGTTTCTGAGTGAAGGACTTGCTTGCATGGAATCAGGCATGCACGATTCGTATGCTATGGTTATTTCTCATGAAATCAGGAGCTCTTTGGGTAGCATGGATGTTTGAGTATAAATGTAAGCAGGGGGACTTATGGTCTATGCGAGTGCAAAATAGTAGCTCTTGGGCATGGTGAAGAATCCTGAAGCTGAGGACTATTATAATGCCTTGAATTCAGGTTCAGAATGATATTGTCTTTTGGGATTCGAAGGAAATGCAGGTTTATTCAGTGAGGCGAGTTTGGGAAACGTTGAGAAGGAAGGCTCCTGGGGTTCATTGGCACAAGTTAGTTTGGAATGGGGGTTGTCCTCCTCGATATAGCTTCTTAGCATAGATTATCATTAAAAAAGCTATTGTCACAAGGGATAAGCTAAAGAAGTGGGGCAAACTTATTGATGCATCCTGCCCTTTATGTGGGATGGACACAGAGACAAGAGATCATCTCTTTATCCAGTGTTCTTACTCACGTCAGCTCGCTAGGCAGCTGCATTGCCAGCTCCTGAGGCACAATGATTGGGAAGTAATGCTACATGTTGTCAGCAGTAAAGTCAGTAGCAACTTTCAAGTAGGGAAATGGCATGCCCTTATGTGGTATGTGTTGGTTGCAGTCATATGGAAGGAAAGATGCGGGCTAGTTCATGGATCTGCTCTTCGTTCTCCAGGTAAAATAGCAGAGGTGATCAAAGCAGAACTCTTATTTCTCACATGTGGGAATAGGGCAGTGCGAGATGGGCTAGAGAGACTTGGATACTTATAAGTTTTGTTTGGTTTTTACACTATAAGTAGTTTGATAGAGAGGACATGGTAGTCAGTGTGATGTAGTGCCTTTCCATGGGCCTGCAGGGCCCATGCTTCGTTGTATCGGTGTTTTATTGCAATAAAAGCTACTGATTCGACGAAAAAAAAAATTAATAAATTTAGTGACCAAATTGCAATTAATAGCCGGAACCTTATACTTTTTTTTATCTCCCTTTTGGTCCCACCCCGGCTATGTCGGAGAAGCCCTAGTCCTTTGTGAATTGTGATTGACAAGCTACTGCCAGTAGGCAGGTCAGGATACTATTTATAAGTGGTTCCACATGTACGACGACGTTGCATATTCCCACCGACAATAAGAATTACTTATTAATTAAAAAATGAAATAATCTACTAAAAGCGCAAAACTGTTCTCTTTTCCCATGTAAAATGCTTGCGCAATTATATTTAGCTTCATTATGAAAAAGTAATTAGTAATAAACTTCAGTTAATTATAACAAAGGAGGAGACGAGAGAAAGAGAATAGAACGCGTCTCCTATTTTCTCCTCTCATTGATCAGAAGCTTGAAAGCAGCAGCTACATCCTGCTATTACTAGTAGTTGCTAGTTGCTACTCACACTCTGTTACTAGTATCCAAATTGAGAGACGCCCAAAAAGCCAAAGCAAGAAGACAGACAGCAATAAACCCACAATTCCCCTCCGGCTCTCACTCAGATCTGAGATCTAAATCTATATTCCCACTCACTGGTCAGCCATTGATTTCTATTTTCTAGTTCTCCAATCGCCCTTTCCCCATCTCCTTCTTCTTCGTTTCAATGACCCGAGCCTGATCTCTCTCTTAACTGTTTGTTCAGTGCTTCGTTAAGGGTTGTTGATTAGAGCTGCTTCGCTTCGCTTGGCTGCTTGATTGATTGCTTCATCGTCCATCATCAATCATGTCGAGGAGGCAAGTAGGCTCCGGCAGGCGATTCGTCGACTCCGGCAACTTCCCCTTCGCTTCCGCTCTCCATCACAAGTCCCGCTCTTCTCCTCTACTCTCCATCGGTCTAGTCGTCTTGGTGCCTACTTCCTCTCTCCGTTTTCATTATCAACTTATTCATGTTCCCTTTTGCTCAATCTCGTCTAATTAATCCCCCAACTTTTTTGTGGTTCCAAATTCACCAGGGTGCTTTGCTTCTCATCGCCTATGCTTATGGCGGTCCAGGTCTGTCTTCCTTTCCCCCTTCTTATTGCTGCATTGAATCCGAATTGTACATGGCTTGATTCTGATTGATGTGTCGATTTGCAATTTACAGGTTTGTTCAGGGGTAACAAGGATGTTAGTAGGATTGAAGGTGAACATTTCTGATAATTTTCCTCTCAAGTCTTTGCTTTATTTGTTTGTTATTCACACTCCTAGATCTTTGAATTGTTAGGCATGTTGTTGGTGAGTTAGAACTGGATAAATGGATTAGGATCTGGATCCTTTTGACTAGCGTAGATCCCAATTGGACTCTCTTTGACTTCAGCCCTTGTGAGCCCTGTTGGTGTCAAATTCAAGCCGTCGCAGAGCAATGCACATTAAAATTGTTTCCTTTCCTGTATGGAGTGATCTTAGTTGATTTTGTTTCTGGGTAGAAGTCTCAGCTTCTACCATATACATTACTTTGGGGTCATTGGTGAATGTGGCTTTTCCTAAAGAAATTGTATTGCTCCTACAGAATTATGTGGATTTGGAAGTCGCATATGGGAACGCCTAGAGAATCTGTTGCCCTTTATGATGCTTAAAAGCTCGTACTGATTTCAAATATTATACTTTACAGGCGACTATACGTGTACAGCAGAAGTCCTGAGAGCTATACCAATTCTGAAGAAAGCATATGGAGACAACATGCGTAAAATTTTGCATGTAGGTCCTGATACTTGTGCTGTTGTGTCCACATTGTTGAAAGAAGAAGAAACTGAAGCTTGGGGGTTGGAGCCATACGACATCGAGGATGCAGATGCAACCTGCAAAAATCTTGTTCGGAGGGGCCTTGCTCGTGTTGCTGATATCAAATTCCCTCTACCCTACAGGGCAAAGTCATTCTCACTCGTTATTGTATCGGATGCTCTTGATTACCTTTCACCAAAGTACCTGAACAGGACTCTTCCTGAACTGGCTAGGGTTGCTTCAGATGGTCTCGTTATCTTTACAGGTATTCCATGCAAACTCCATAAGAATTAACGTAGTACGGAAATCTTGTGATTTGAAGATCAGTTGTGGTGAGGCAACCATCTTTCTCGTGTGTCTATTTGTGTTGGGCCTTTCACACGAACAATTTATTTTCCAAACCGTAGTCGATGTTTGCAGTTGTTGTGAGGAAGCTATCATTCTCTTACCTTGATGCGTTTCCCTTTTAGGTTATCCTGGCCAACAGAGAGCTAAAGTTGCAGAACTGTCCAAATTTGGACGGCCGGTGAGTGTATTATAGGATACCTTTGGCTTCTCATCTAGGCTCTTTTGCAGTATTTGGCATGCTGTTGGTTATCAAGTCTTATTCACAAGTTAAGTTAGCTATGTCGACTCTGGGAGACCACTGACTGATTCTGATGTTTGAATTTTCAGCCCAAAATGAGGAGCTCCTCTTGGTGGATTCGCTATTTTGTTCAAACAAGTTTAGAAGAAAATGAAGTTGCTCAAAAGAAGTTTGATCAGGCAGCACTGAAGAGGTCGTACAAGCCAAACTGTCAAGTATTCCACCTCAACCCATACCATTAAACGTCAAGGGACACGATGAGAACCAGCCTATAGGCCACGGTTCTCTAAGTTTTCGGTTCCCTCGCACTTGAGCTCAAAGATATCTTTTACTCCCACACGCACACAAGCCAAGCCCATTCTCTTACCTTGTTAGCTAAATGCCTAAATCACATGGAAAAAAAAAAGTTCTTACATTATGTTGTATCATTTTTAACATTTAAACAATCAATACCTTATTAATCCAGGTCAAGTTTGTTGATTGATGGCAGTCGACTTTTCCGTTTTGGATTCAGCTTCCCCCAATGAGGTGGGCTAAGTTCAGGTCGATAAACCCCCCCCTTTTAAAAAGGATCTTAAAGCATTATGATTGATTGATTCAGTTATTGACTGATTCAATTTTAGGTAGTTAGTCGGGAGTAATTAGTTAATTAGTTATTAAGGGTATTTAGAGAATTGTAAATAATTAAAAAATGTAACCCTAACTTTATATAAAATCTCGGATTTCCCCCCTCACCCGTAGCCAAACCGTTTCTCCTCGTCAAAGGACATTCTCCGTCCATCCTGTCCGATGCAGCCGCCGACCGTCCCTTCTGCTCCCGCCAGTTGGTCTCTGCCGTTCTCCGCCAGGAGTTCTCCTCCGTTTTTTTTGTCCCGGGCCTGGCCGTCATCTGTCCATCTTCATCTAGTTGAAAGACCAGTCGATTGTCGACGTAGGTTGGTCTTCCGGTGTCGTAGCTTGGTCTTAATTCCGTCCGGGAGCGCCGTCGGTTGGTCTTCCGGCGCCGCACGCTCGTTCTCGCCACCGTGAAGCAACGCCCGTCGCCTTCGCTCAACAGCTGCCACCTACGTCCATCACTCCCCAGCTTTCGTCATCGAAGCGATACGTGTTGAAAAATCGATATCCTGCATCACTTTAGTCCGTCGTCGGTGCTTCCTGCGCTCCCCTCGACGACGTTCAGTGTAATATTCATGTCCATATTTACCAACAAGTTTAACTTGCGTCGTAGTTATCAGTAACGTTTCTTTATCGGTTATTAACGTTTCAACACAACATTATTAACGCTTCTTCATTAGTTATAACGTTTCACTACTACATTATTAATATATAACACGACGCTATGAATAATGTGCTCATTATTAACTTTTCTTTACCAATTATTAATATTTAACACGACACTATCAACAAGTCTAAATTGATCCCTTTTTCTGGCGCTATTTTCACGAAATTGATTCACTCATAAAGGTCATTATAAATTTAGGTCGCACTGATTTTAAATATTTTTAAGGGCGATGGTCAATGTTTTTCCCCTTTTAACAATATTAGGTTATATTTGTACCTTTCTTATCACTATTACTTTGGTTAAAAACAAAAATATCGTGCTATCAAAATATATGTATGTTATTGAGAATTTTTTTTCTTACGACCAGTATACAACCATTATAAAAAAATTAATAGATTATTTTTACGACCAGTGTATGTGTGTGACTTTGTAAAATGACATTATGAATGTTTTGTTTTTGTTTTTAACATTTTTTGTTTGTATTGCTCTTTGTTCACTCATGTTATCAATATATTTACATGTAATTTCTAATTTTTGACAGTGCTCCAACCATTATTAATATTTTTAACGTCATTATCAACATTTTTAATAGCGTTCTACTAATAATCTGTTAGTTGAATTAACGTGTACTATTATCAATCTGTGTTTCACTATTAACGATTTCTTCACCCAATATAATATTTTCAATGTCATTAGCAACATTTTTAACGGTGTGCTATTAGTAAGTTGTCGACTTGATTAACGTGGACTATTATCAATCTGTGTTCATTATTAACGGTTTTTAACCCATTATTATTATTGTTCGCTACACTACCAACAATTTTACTATACTTCAGAAGGATAGATTGGAGATGCTGAGGTCAACCGTGAAGGATTTGTTGTTGATGAGCCACTGGTTCCTATTATCCGCATTATCAATTGCAATGTTCACGACTGGTACTGAGCTATCATCATTCAGAGACTCATCGTACCCAAATTCTACTTCTGAAATACGAAGACTAAAAAAAATAAAAAATTAAGATGCGTTAATTTTTTATTTGCTTTCATATATGTAAAGCAAACAACTCAACATCCATCCCCTCAATATCCACTGCAATGTCACCTTCACTTCCCGTTAAGTTGTTACCAACATCTTGCCACTCGAAGTTTCATCACAAGGTATTTTATTCATATCTGTAGCATTGAATATATACCGTTATCAACAACTTTATAAACAGTTTATAGCGTCGTCAAACAATATATTAATCATTATTAACCTGCCACTACACTACTATTAACAATATCACTGGAGTCATTAACTTGTAACTAACAAGTTGTGTCATTATTCATGTTCTTACCCGATCATGAAACTTTTAGACATGTTTTTATTTGTGAAAATATTCTCGACACCATTATTAACAAATTAACGTTACAATTTTAATAATATTCAACAACGTCGTCACCCAATATTATTATACATTATTAACCGACAACACTACTATTATTAATCATATTATGGTGATTATTAACCGGCAACTACATCACTATGACAATCAGCGGAACCTTCATATTGAGATTTTCCAGCAACGTTATTAATAAATTAACGTTATAATTTTAATAATCTTCAATCACGTCGTCAATCAATATTATTATACATTATTAACCTACAATGTTGCTATTATTAATTATAGGGCTAATACCACTACAACACCCGAACTATCGCGAAAATGCCACTTGTGTCCTATTGTTTCCAATATTCCATCTGTATCCTGAACTGTGATACTTTGTGTCATTTGTATCCTGTCAATTTCGTTGACCGTTAAAGATAACGGTTGACCAAACGGTGGTCAACGCGAAGTTGACTTTTGTTGACGTGGCAAAAAATGTGGCTGCCACATAGATGCCACATCACTGACCTCATTTTTTTAATTTAAAATAAATAAAAATTGAGTTAAAATTAAAAAAACTGTAAATTCAATTATAGTACTAAACAAACTAAAATTAAAACAAAAACAAAATGGAAATAGAACTCCATTGACGGTGCTTCCAGATCTGCTTCTATGGAAGAACACGGTGATGGTGATCTACATTTTCGGCCCAACAAATGGCCTTTGTTCACCGGCACCGGCACCTCCATGCCCACATCCTCTCCTTCCTTCTCCTCCTTCTCTTTCCCCATCTCTCCGCACCTCTTCTCGACGAGAATTCGGGAAGGCCTCCTAAAACCCAAATCGTCCATCACACAGGGCGGCGCCCTCGACCGCTGGTCCCCTAACATCTCTCCACTGCTAGAACAGATGAGTCGGCATCTTCTATTAGGGAGGCGGCATCGTCTCTGGCATTCGACTCTCCAGTCTCTCCCTCCCCGGCAACTTCGATATTGACGCCCTCGAAAAACCACTGGGCCTCCGAACCATCAGCTTCTCCTCACCTCTTCTTGACAAAAATCTCCTGCACCGACTCCACTGCTCCACTGCTACTTCGACAGAACTTCTTCTTCCTCCTCTTACTCCAAGCAAGCTCGATCTATCGGCTGATCTGGGTTCAGAAGAAGGGAAGTCGTCGATTTGGGTCCCCTCTCCCTTATTTTCTTGTCCTCTGTTTTCTTCCGATTTTCAATTTCCCAGCTGAAATTATAGGTTTGGAGAGAGCCAAACTGATCGGGGAAGAAGGGAGCAGGAGCTCACAGCCCGGGTCGGTGCGGTACCGGGAAAGGAGAGGAAAGATGGGGAAATATGGGTTTGAGCTGGCGAGGGGAGTGCGGCGGCGACATGTAGAAAGGAGTAGAAGGGTTTTCTTTCTACAACAAGATCGTCTCCCGGCGCTCCTCCGTCGGCGACTCCGACCAAATCACCCACAGCGGCGTTTCTTTCGTTTGGCAGATCCAGCCCAGGAAGGCGTGGATCCCGCCGGAATCGTCGCACAGCCTACGAATCTCCCATGTGTTTTTGGGCAGAAGTGGAGCTTCTTCACGATTTGGATCTGGGATTTCGGATCTGATGATGGGGAAATTGAAGAGGTTTCCAGGTTCCTACCGTAGCTATGTTTAATTTTTGGGAATTGGGGAAGAGGGGATTAGTTGGATGAGGGTCTGTGAAATGAGCTTTTATTTTTTTTCCTTTTTTAAATTTTATTAATTTAGATGGAAAATAAATAAAATTAATATTAAAAATATCACGTGAGATGCCACATCAGCGCTGATTAGATTTTCTGTTAAAAACTAACGGTCAACAAAAGTCAACACTAACGGAATCATAGTTCAGGACACAGATGGAATATTGGATACAATAGGACACAAGTGGCATTTTCGCGATAGTTCGGGTGTTGTAGTGGTATTAGCCCTTAATTATATTATGGTAAGTATTAACGGGCAACTACATCGCTATGACAATCAGAGGAGGTTTCAATTTGAGGTTTTTCATCAACGTTATTAACAAATTAATGCTACAATTTTAATAATATTCAACCACGACGTCAACCAATACTATAATAAATTATTAACCGAACATGCTACTATTATTAATCATATTATGGTAATTATTAATGACGAGAATCATTGACGGCGGTTGTCGAAGCACTTGACGGCGGTTGTAGCCTTGGGGGTTCCGTCGCTCACCAACTACGGACGAGCGAGACCCGACAGCAGGGAGCGGATCGAATCTTCACTGGCGTAGACAATAGAGACAGTGGGGAATTTTCACCGGTGGATCGGAGCCACAAGACGCCGGTCGTGGTGGAAGTAGGGGGCGCCACGATTTGAAAGGAGACGATGGAGAAGTTTCACCGGCAGATCCACTGCTACAAGATGTCGGTCGTGGTCCACGATGTTGTCCTCGTTTGTTGCAGCATGAGACAATCGACAGAAAAGGACGGCGGTGACCGGGCAGTATGGGAGAGCGGGTGTTTTCTGATCTTCAATAGTGGACGGTGAGGGAGGAGAATGTGGGGAAGAAAACCGTGGGAGGAGAAGGGGTTTTTTCAATTTTATTAATAATGTAATTAATTGTTAATTATATTCCATTCTTGCCCTTATTGGTAGTTAGCTAATAATTACTTATGATTATCTCTTTCCTCCTTCTATTGGTTGGCAAGGGTTTAAGATTCTCCTTAAGGAGAGGGGTATAAAGGACCTGATCTAACCCGCAGTGAGGTGGTATACATTGTTTGATTGACTAATAGTGAAAGAAATCGTGTTCTAGGGTGTCTTACTGTAAGAAACCCTGTTCTAGGGTGTCTTCGATCTATGGATTGAGAATAGAATTTGAGATTGTAACAAAATAATATATAGGAACGATTTAGGGATTGAGACTAAAATTTGAGATTAGAGGAGGGGATTTAGATTAGGGTTTGGGGAAGAATAGAGGAAGAAATAATTAGCTAAAGCCTTAGGGGACGAGATTG